AGTGTCTTCATGTTGGGAGTATAGAGACAGTTGCTCAACAATAAAATGGATGGCATATACATTTAATAAATAAATAAAAATTTAGGTATCTTCATGCTGTTAGAAGTTATCCTTCTAGTAGTTACTATCTTTGGGGAAAAAAGATATACAATTCTCCAATATTATCCCCTTTCATGGGAAATAGATGCAGTCAAGTATCAGACAGCATTTTCCTTCATCTTTCCAACAATTCATTTCTCAACTTGAGAAAAATAGAGAAATAATCCTAATAATGATCATGTTCTATTTATTGTGAGATTGCTTGTTAAAATTCTTGTATACTAGCTAAACTAAATTGTGTTTATTGATTTGTTTCCCAGCCTTATATCATGTGCTGCTCTGGTTATAACTTACTCTGAGACTTTGACTGACTTACAACCAATTTAATAAGGATTAAAAAAAATACAGCAATGCTAACATAAATTTCCTATCATGCAGGAATAACCTACACATAAAAGACATTCGTCTGCTAGGAGGGAATTATAAAATTACACCCTCTCAGACTTCAAAGCCTGTTTTAAAAAACCAGTTTTAACAGTGTAGAAGATTGTGAGACTTGGACAATTTTTAGCAATGGGAGGCATTAAAGCGCAACTGTAGTTGTTCACGATAGGTTTTTCTAATTTAGGTAATTAAATAAACTATAAAGGACCTGCCTGAATTAAACCTCCCAAGAAAGCAGAACTTTTGAAACAGACATCATTTCAAAAGGAACTTTTATTGGAAGGTGTTGATAGCGGTAGTAGCAGGCAGGATCTGAGGATTTCCCATATAAACCAATAGTTTAAAAGAGACAATGAAAACCCCACCCCAACTGTCCATCTGGAAGATTCAAATGGGCCTATCCACAGGTGTGAAAATGTTGTGGGAACGGAGCAATAAGGCGCCGCTTCCAAGGCTATTAGGTCTCCGCGCTTCTTCTCCATGCCTGGAGATAAGGCACATAAGATGGCCAGAAGCACATTCCATTCTCACCCCGAGGAAGTAACTTCAAAGAGGATAGAGCAAGGAACAAAGCAGCAAGGAACATTGTAGCAGCCTCGAGTTCCCCCTCCCCACAGAAAGATGGCAGAACCCGAGAAAGGCAGATACCCCAATGCCCATAGAAAGACAGGGTTCTGACAATATCCATTTGGTTTCCTGCCATAAAGGAAGATTTTCACTTTACAGAACATCAGTCCTTGTTTGGCCCTGCTCTTGTGCAATACTTAAAAATGAAAATATAAAAATGGAATAACCGTCTAACAGTGCATGGGGCCATCCAGATATGCTTTAATGTTAACAAATGATGGGGATTCTCATTCTTACATTCTCTGAATATTCCAGACCTGAACTTGATGCTATTATCCTCTCAATAAAATGAAAACACTTTTATTTGGACCCAGATTGCTGGGGGCAATATGCTGACTCTGTGAATCGCTTAGAGAGGGCTGTAAAGCACTATGAAGCAGAATATAAGTGTAAATGTTATTGCTTTTGCTACTGCTATTTATTGACAGGTAAGAAAATATTAACAGGCTGGATACCTTAAGCCTATCTGTCCAATAGCACCATCTGCTGTAAAAGAGGTGTGTGCCGTTTTGAGAAGAAGAATGCATTTCTTTTTTTCACTTTACATAATACTTGTTCTTTGAGAAAGCATGAGGACAGGTCTTACCCTTTCTATAGCAGACTATATACTAACCTTTCCTATAGCATCTCTTCCATCAAATCAACTCCATTTTGTATCCAAGCAGCATATATTAAGATGTTCTCGTCTCAGGAAGATTTTCCAGATTTCTTTCAAATTTTGCTAATTCATTATTTGCAAATCATCGTTGTTGTTGTTATCATCTTTCATTTATTTGTATGACTTTAGATTTTTCTAATCAAATAGGAGTCACCTGAGTTTTAGAATATGAATTGATTATACATACGTATGTGTATCGCATCACACTCGTGCCTTAAGTATCGAGGTGCTTCTGAATTAAAAGGATTAGCCAGTGGCATCACTGTTACCCTGGGGAAAACCCAGTTATGGGCTCCCTTTCATGTCGCTGGCAAAGGATGGAGGCTCACCGTCTCCCATGGCAGCACTCAGGTCTCAAACATAGGCTTGCCACCCTCCTACCCAGTGTCCTAACTATGTGAACCACCATGCTCCTTAGATGTGCACGTACATATACATATATATGTATACATAAAGTACATATACACATGCACACCAACTAAACTTTAGTATAATTAGATTTATTTTAAAAAATACTTAAAACAGGTTCAGGTAACAGAGACATGTTACAACTTTGTATTCATTTATTCTATAGTTGCTGCAGTAATCCACTTTCCTGTATGATTTCTTTCTGTAACTATTTATCTTGATTACTTTTCTGCAACATTAACATAAAGGCTCATAGTGAAGATCTGAACCATACAACACAGTCCTCCTCAGGCTTTTGGGGGCTCAGGGAATATTGGGACAATTTTATTTCTGTATACAGAACGAAAGAGAACTCAGTGTTACTCTTAGGGAGAAAGGCATAGAAGCGTGCAATTATAAAAAGAGAGGGAGGAAAAAAATATAGCATACTGGATGTTGATAAATCTGTGTCTACCTTTACCCTAGTGTAGACATTATGAGTGCTGGACCTGGAATAAGGAGACCTGGGTTCAAATCAACCTTCAGACACAGGAGTTCACTGGATCATTTTATTAGTTTTCCCCTTTCAAGACAAACTACTTGTGATTTCATACAAGCTAGCAATTTAGATATTAAGCCAGATACAAAAATAATAAATGAACAATGAATCATTATTATTTTATGAGTTTGAAGGATTCTATCTTTTGCCCTGAAGAAGGGTTCACCTTTTTATTTATCCTTCTTGTTTCTTAGTTCCTATATTCCAAGGTAGTATATGTGCCAGCACCATTTAAAGTTCATATACTGAAAGCCTTCCTTGTGAAGCCTTTAACAAACCCACCACAACTTCTCTGGATGTGTGGGACTATGAGTCCCCTTATCCCTAGTTAGGATGGAAATGATGGAGATATAATCAAATAATTCTGGAGCATGCCAAATATTTTTCCATCTTTTCTTCAATTGTTTACACCAACGTCAGGGTCTATGTGCCAGATAAAGCAAAGGAGGATAAGATCAAGAAAGAAAAAGAACCATAGAATCATAAATCATAGGGCTGGAAGGGATCTTGGAGGTCTTCTAGTCCAATCCCCTGCTCAGGGCAGAAGTCCTTATTCTATCCTGGACAAATTGTTGCCCAATCTCTTCTTGAAAACCTCCAGCGATCGAGCACCAACAAGTTTGGGAGGCAAGCCATACCATTGACTAACTGTTCTCACTATCAGGAAATTTCTCTTTAGTTCCAAGTTGGATCTTCCTTCGCTCCTTGTCCTGCATTAAGGAGCTTTGGAGAATAAATCGACTTACTCTTCCCTATGACAGCCCTTCAAGTATTGGAACACAGCTATCATGTCACCCCCTAAGCCTTTTCTTTGTTATGCTAAACAATTGATAATAAATAAATGTTAAATAAAATGAATTTTATTTTATTTCTAATATTTATTATATTATTTTATATTTATTTTATCTTTATTTAAATAAGTAAGTAAGTAAGTAAATAGGCTACCCTGTAGGTAAAGGTAACAAATAAACCAAAGGGTGAGAGAGTAGGATAGAGAATTGTGATACCTTTCCACTGGAAAGTATTGGTTCTCTAGCTATTTTTCCAGCTATTTTTTTTTTTATCTGACCATGGATTAGCATGAATTCAGCTAGTCCTCAACTTACAGCAGTTCATTTAGTGAGTGTTCAAAGTTACAAGAGACTTATGACCATTATTCACACTTACGGCCATTGCAGCATCCTCAGGGTCATGTGTGATCCAAATTTGGACACTTGGCGACTGACTCATATTTATGACAGTTCCAGTGCCCCGGGGTTATTTGATCACCTTTTGTGACTTTCTGACAAGCAAAGTCAATGGGGAAGTCAGATTCATGTAGAAACTGTGTTACTAACTTAACAATTGCATTGAATCATTTAACAACTCGCTTAGCAATAAAAATTTTGGACTCACTTGTAGTCATAAATTGAGGACTATCTGTAAATATTTTGATCCCAAAGCTAAGAAGGGGAAATATAATCTGTTTTGTTCAGGTTTTTTAATTTCTCTCTCTTTTCCTCTGTCCTAGGTAGAGACTAGGATTTCTGTACCATGCTTTCTGTGTGCCCCCTCCAGAAATTCAGGTCGTATTAGCTCCCCCTTCTATTACTTCATTTCCTTTGGGAGAGTAGGATTCATTATTAAAGCTTTATTATTTATTTGTTTACTTCATGGTATTTATGCTTCTTTTTTTACATATCTACATATTTACAGAATGGAATTAGATAAAGTCATTGCTAAATGTCATTAATCAAAACTTTAAAGCTGCAATCCCTGAGGTCACAAGATCACCCAAAAGTGAGAAAAAAAATCTGTTTGGAAGTGGAATTCCATAAGCCTAAGCAAACTGATAACTTTCCAAAATAAATTATCCCAATAAAAGAGGATGTGAATCCTTCCTTTCTTCCTTCCTTCCTTCCTTCCTTCCTTCCTTCCTTCCTTCCTTCCTCTCTCTCTCTCTCTCTCTCTCTCTCTCTCTCTCTCTCTCTCTCTCTCTCTCTCTCTTTCTTTCTTTCTTTCTTTCTTTCTTTCTTTCTTTCTTTCTTTCTAAGAAAGTTTCCATAATATATTACCCAGATCCAGATCTGCTGAATAATAATGTATTTTTATAGCCAATTGATAAAGTCTTCCCCCTTCACTTGAACTGAGGATGTAGTATTTCCAGGGCATATCTGAGATATGTGCAGATCTACTTTCATTGCAATAGTGGGCAACATGCAGGAATCTTCTGTATACAAAAGGTGTTAGATAAGGCCAACAAAATTAGAATATGGGTTTCTTATAATATTAATAAAAACACACTTCTTTCAATAGAAATGGCATTTTATTAGTAATACCATGCATATACATGTGTGTATGTGTTTATGAGAGTGATACATATTTTAATAGTAATTATTTTAAAAAATCATAAAAACCTTTCAGATAGGTCTCAAGCAGGTCCAAAATATTCTGCTTATTATACAACACAAAGCAAGTCATTCCAACCTAGAACCATAAAATCCCCCACCTCCACATCTGAAATCAAGTTCTGTAATTCCTGGAATATCTGATGTCAGATTTGCTGCCTTTTTAATATAGCCGAGCTAAAAGTTCTGTCTGAGTTGTTAGTGAATGAGAGAGAGTAGGAAATCAAGAAATCATGTCTCTCTGCTGACTTATATTAGAACCACAGAAAATGGGAGGGAAATATAAGTTTTGGCTTTTTCAAGCTCCTTGCCCTTATTTACCTTTTTTTTTAAAAAAAAAAAAAAGTTGAGCTTCCATTGCTCTTAGAAAAGAAAATAGTTCAATAATGTATAATATTATAATTTTGATATTTTGACATGCCCAGGAATCCTGAATTTGACAAAAATCTTACATTTTTGAAATGTCAGTAATAAATCATCACATCCATGCTTATAATGATTGTTATTATTAGAACAGGATGTGTGGCATATGTGCAGGGCATACACAGAAGCCTCTGGCTATGCAACTGCCAGAAGAGGTTGTGAGCCAATGCAAATTATCTAATTCAGATCAGGCATATCATCCCAAAGTGCATCATAATGTCTTTGCAACATAAAGCCCTTCATTAAAATAAACGGAAAGCATTCAAGTAGACCAAACAGGTAAAATACTAAGTGCTGTCCATGGGACTGATTTTTTTTTAATCTCGCCAAGAATCTTCACCTATACTGTATGCTCATGATTGCTGTCCAATTGCTGTCTGTTGCTGAATCTTAGAACAAACCTTGGACAGGAATTCAGAATTTAGTGATGAGATTGAAAGCTCATTTGCCTTAGTGTGTGTGTGTGTGCACGTGCGTGCGTGTGCATGTAAAACCAGTTGCATTTTGCCCCTGTGCTAATAAATTTGGGGAAAGATATATTGTGGGCAGAAAAGTCCTGGAGTTTAATTTGGAGTATTCTACTTGAAATACTATGTCACAGTGTTCCCTCCTGCGGTCCCAATGCCTGCATTAAAATGAGAGCTGCAGGATTTGCTTATAGGTCTTTCCATACAATTAAGCTATCTGTGCCTAAGGCAATAAACAATGAGGACAAAACAATTGTATGGATGGAATTAGGTCCTGTCTTCAAGCAATTTTTCCAGTGACACAATCCATCACATACCTTCCTACTTAGAAACTACTAATGCAGAGACAACAGACTGTCTCTCCACAAAGCCATGTTTAAAATACACCCCCCCCCCCGAATTTGGCTTCTCTCTATGAATGAGTGATGAGTCCTTTATGGGTTTTTTTTTAACAGTTGTTCTTCCTTTGGACTTTGGAATTTTTAACTTATTTTAGAATGTTTTCACTCAGAGTCATTATAGATTGGAGCAGATATATACATGTATTAAAATAAAAAGAAATCAGATACATTCTATGGGTGAGAAAAACTTCATGATTGTGATTAATCAACTTAATCAATCTTTTTTTAAAACCCAAGTTACTATGCTTATTACATTTTTGGAGAAAGTGGACTATATAAATATAATTGTGTGACAAAAGCTAAAATTTTCAGAGGACAATATTTTCTTGCACTATATACCCAGTACATATAATTTGACAACTGACAATATACATGGATTCTCTGTAATCTTACTATCGCCAAAAGACTGATATTGCAGGTTTAGGAAGATATGGACCATTTCTCAATGGATTGAAGATCTGATTACACTTGCCACATATGAACTAATTGCCTATAGATTAGCCTTTGTATGGACAAGTATAATGAAATATGGGACTCATTTAAACAAAATACAGTAGATTAAAAATAATTATATAAGTGCAATAGAAATAGATATGTATTGAATAATATTCGCACTAGATAAGTATATATAGAAGTTTATGTTTACTGTGAAAATGATTTATCATGCTTTTTTTTACTTTGTCATATTTCTTTCCCTTTTTTGTTAACGCACCTTTTGTTATTAAAAAGCAGTAAAAAATCATTTTAAAAATCAGCTTAATCAACCCATAGTTCTGTCTGCACAAATCTTATGATGACAATCTTTGACATTGTTTGATCCAAGTTCTATAGCATTGAGCTGTAGAAGTAAAATCCAATTTATAAAAATATAAATAGAATATGTTTTTTAAAAGTCTTCTGACTCTTCTGTTTTCCAAATTATGATATTCCAGGAACCAATGGCTTAATTGCATCCATGCATGGGCATATTGCCTTTAACATATGTGTATATGTACAAAGGACATACTGAATGAAGCAATTTCTGTATTCCTTGACCTAAAATCTTCTTACATAATTGTCACTGTGCATACAGTTCAATCATAGGTAAAACTAAATCTGCAAACTGATGATAAGAACAGGGAAACTGCATAAACCTTGGAGTGCAGATGTGGATTTTATGTTCAGTTCTCTATCATTTAAAGTTTCAAGTTCCATCAGAATGGGTACAAACAATGGCTTTTTGTGAGAGACCCAAATACCAGAAACAGATCTTTTAGACCATCCAACCACCCTTAGCTATAATACATGTTGTATAATTTTCACAAGAAATGAAGGCTCACATAATAAGGGAACTTTAAGGCACAATATTTCATATACTCAACCACACATTCATCAACCACAAAAATACAAAAAGAAAAGTGCAGAATACTGTACATGTACTCTAGAAGCAATATCTCATCCAAAGTTTCCACTGAATGAAGTAGGGCTGTATTTCTAAAAGTTGTTACACAGTTTACTCAGTCTTTCAACCTGAAAATGAGGCATACAAAATTCATCTCACTAGTTTAGAAATAATACAAACTAAAGCCGAAATGTTGATACAATTCACATTTCCAAATGGGCAAAAACTTAACATTAGCTTGAATAATCCAAATGCTTCTATAGCTATAGTGGTGAAGGCTTTGACTTGACTTAAAAATGGTTGGTAAATCAGTACACTTTTTACACAACTAAGGTCAGCTACAATAACTTGTACCCTGCTATTTTTTTAATTTCATTTTTCTTGGACAGATTAAAGTGCTAATGGATACATTCAGTGATTACAAAAAAGAGCACTGAGGTTGATTTAATTGAAGCCAAGCTGAGATTGACTACTGACTCTGACTAAGCTAAGTCCTTGTAATACTCCAATCTCTGAAGGTTGACAGGCAAAAAGTTGGTGTCCAAGATGATATATTTACAGATTTTTTTTAAAAAAATGCTAGCAAACGCATGCAATGTTCTATTGAGTATTAAATATTTGATGCCACTTCTTCTTTAAAAAGATTTCAGTTTCTGATCTCACCAGTTGAGATGGAATACTGAAATATAATTCTAATTGTATCTGGTTGTATGAACTCATACCTGTGCACAAAGCTCAGTATGCAAAGCATAAGGAATTTAAAGCTTGTTAATTGTAATTAAGCAAAAAAGAGTAAAAAGGCTTCAAAGGAATTAAAATAGATTGAACGGGGGGGGGGCATATTACTGGGGTAGGGAATGTATTTGGCATGCAAGAAGTTCCCAGTTTTAACTGATGGGATGCCCAGTTCAAAGGGTCTTGGATGACACTTGTAGGAAATACTGTACTAGAACACTACTACTGGTCAGAGCAGACAGTACTTCATTTAAAAAATACCATTTATATGTTTCAGTATAAAGCAGTCATGATAAATGGCTTTGTACATCTTTCAAGTTATTATCATACCGAGTTTAAAACACTTACCAACTAGAGAGTATTTTGGGGATGACGTCAGATCTTGGTTCAGAGGAATTAGGTCTCAGTTGGGAAGGGCTATTTTTAAATCCATTTGGAAATAAATGACAGAATACATATCGCCAGGGCTTTTTTTCTCATAGAACACCCAGAACTGAGTTCCGGCACCTTTTTTGGATGGAACCTTGTAGGGTAAGCAAGGTGGGTTGTATGACGTGTGTGAGTTCCGGCACCTTTTTTTTTTTTTTTAGAAAAAAAGCACTGCATATCGCCATCTAAAGGAGGATAAGCATCCCTTTGTTTGACCATGGGCTGTACTTAAAAGTTTTGGAAAAGGCCAGGTCTATGAGAGGTGAAATTATGATGCAAAGGAATGGAGCTATCTGATGCAAATGAGCAAGGACAGGAACTTTTTTTTTGTCTTTTTCTCTCTTTTTTTTTAAGTGAGGCATCTAAAATACTAGATACTGTTGGTATATAACACGAGAGAAATTATCTACAATGTATAAAGGCATCTCAAATATACACTATGTTAGAAATGTGAACAACATGAAGAGACATTTCAAAAAGCTTTAAAAATTGGATTGAAATACATACATTGATAAAGAGGATGCTAGATCAATATTCAATTGAAGTCAGAACTTTTCCTTTTAGGAATGATGGTTGGAAAAAAACTATGAATGATTATTTCAATATATGATTATTGTGGTGATATTACTCTATATACAAAGATGGAAAGATTCAGTGCTAGCTACCATGGGGGAATGGTTGGTGAAATGGATAGAATTGTCTGAGATGGCAAGTGACCTTTAATTAGAGAAAGGATGATAGGTACATTTATTGGTAATTGGAATGCCCTAATAGGCTTAAATGGAAAAAAAATGAACTTGTGATTTATGATTTTGATGATTACACAAGATATAGGAAGAAGAGAGTTATGATTTAACTTTAGAGAGAGAGATTAAAATAAAATTGAACTTATAACTGCTGTGAGGAATATCAGAATATCTTTATATTTTTATATATTTTTATATCTTTCTTTTTTTTTTCTACCTTCTTCTATTTTCTTTTCTTATTGCACTTTTAATTTTTCTGGTATTTCTATCCTCTTTTCATTTTCTTTTTACTAATTTAGCTGTATTACTTCTTATAATTGTTTTTAAAACTTTATATATAAAATAAAATATTATGCTAGAGAGGGGGCATAGTTTAACTAAAGATTCTTAAGGACTATGATCTTATAGCTACTTTAACAGATCACATTCTTTGGATTTTCAATTATGGCCAGATAGTTTCGATCTGCTTTGCTTAGAGCATAAGGTTTAGCCTAAATAAATAATAATAAATACTGGGGTGTTTTGTTTTGTTTTTACAACATGTTACCAAGCAAAACAAAACAAACAAGCTATTTGGAATGTAACATTGGAAATTTGGAGAAACTTGAAATGTAACATTTGAAATTTTGCCAAATTTATGCGAAGAAGGTTTACGTGAAATGCTCCAACATTTGCCAGCAATTCACATGCATTAAACTTTTTAATTACAATAACACTAGAGTAACTTTGTGCATTTTTAGGTGGAAGTAAAACTCCTTGGTTTCAACAGCTTATACTCAGGGTAGTGGCTACAGGAATAAAACCAGATTGCATGTGTCCACATTAACTAAGGGCGCAAAGTGATTATGTGAACAAATTGGAAGTTCCTGCCATGAAAGAAGAGGGATGCTGTTTGTTAAGAAGGACTAGTATATTGGCAAAAGGCTAAGATGAAAAGGGCTATCAAGTGATAATAAGGCAAATTAAAGCTGTTATCTAGAATTGTTTTCCATCTATCAGTGTCCCATTTTTAAGATCTGATAGGTAAAAGTCTGCCATTTTAGATGATATTTTAAAGGAATATGAAAGGAAAAAGTACTCCATGGTACTTCTCTTTCTAGGCTGGGCTTCTCCAAAAGGATATTAATCTATTAATAATGTCACAGAACTGTAATACACAACTGAATGTCTAAGAGCAAAGCTCACTCAAGTTGTAATAGGCTTCACAGTTACACACTCTTCCCATGAAACTCTGAAAATTGTGATTTAGCCATGGAATGGGATTCATTAAAAAAAATATCACCCTGGATGTAGTTCCTAAGAATTCTTGTGGGGAAATTACCATTAATAAAAGAGCTATCAGGATTTTTTCACAGACAGCATCTTAGCTTTGGAAGCAGGTTCTTTTTTGCACACACCTACCTAATATTTCTCTTTGGCATTTTTTGAAGAGAATTTTGGCACCTGCAACTTTTCCAGTGATCTTCACCAAGCCACCATCTCTCTTCCTTAGAGAGCACCTTCAAAACTAATCAAAGACATTTCACAAATCCCTGTGACATTCTTATGTCAATTGGGACAACATGAACAGATTTGTCTCTTATGGCAATCTGATAAGTTCAGCATCTGAGCTCCCCAAATCATATCCCACAGACACATAACAATAGTAAAAAAAAATGATACTGATTGTATTAGGCCAGGAACAAGCAGACTTTAGATGGAGATCTTTCAATAGATCTGCTAGTGGATTGCAAACATTTCTGAACAACCAGTGGTTTAACTAAAGCACCACCAGAATATTTTCTACCAATGAAATTAGACTGCTGGATGAAGAAAAGATAGGAAGAGGGACCACATGTGATGATTCATCTCCCAAGGAACGAAATCAGTGGTGGGATTCAGCCAGTTCACATCACTTCAGCAGAACTGGTAGCTAATTTTTTTGTTGCCCAGGCCCAGAACGGACTTCCGGAAGTGGCATCCACACAGAGAACCTGTTGTTCACATATTTGAATCCCACCACTGAATGAAATCCAAAAGACTATAATCTGATACAAAAAAAAACATGCCTCAACTGAGCATAAACTTACAGACTTGTGTGTGTGTGTGTGTGTGTGTGTGTATGTCCCACTGGTTCTATTAATATTTTGCTCCTGGCTATGAGTGCTAAATCAGAATTCTTTCTTATAATTACACTGGAGTGCTAGTTTTAAAAAAAAATGCTGTGCCCACCTTTATGATAGGCATTCTACATTCCTAGAGCCAAATCAGTATAACAGAGATCCAGAGAGAGGATCCGGACCAAATTTAAGAGAGTAAATGAATGTAGCTCCCCTGCTCATCCGAATTATTGATTTTTACTTGCCCAAAAAAATCCCTGAATTTTAATAAAATCGCTGACTGAAACAGAAACCAAGCATGCTAGCAAATAAATGATTAAACCTAGATAATTAATGCTGTTGAATATTTCAAAAAGAGGGGTGGTACGAATGAATCAATATTTTTAATGACTATGAGTCTTTTTAGACATTTCTGAGAAGCAGCTATCCACCCTCTTTAACCTTCACTTTAGACCAGCCAGCACATTATCCTCTTATTATCAGTCTACATTTCTAAGGAGAGGTGGTATAACTTAGCAGTTAAAGTTAGTCTGAATATATACATATAGAAAACTGGACAGCCAATAAGCACTTCACCCCAGGGCTCACAGCTTATTAGAAATTCCAGGTTGCACTGTTTCCATATGGACACCATTGCTGTGCAACCAAGCAGCCTTGAGTGTTAAGTGCTACCACCGGAGCATTCTGCAATATAGCTGACTTGACCCTTTGATCTCGCCCATATTTGCACATTAATGCATCACTTTAGCAAAGTAATATGCCATCCAGGCATCCAGAAACAAGTTAAGCCATGTCTTTTAAAAACAACAACAACCCTCATTTCATTTTATAAATAAGCAATTGAGAATTTTGCTCCAAGTGGCCACTTGAATAGCCCACTCCATAAATGGCATTCTCCGAAGAATAAGGCACAATATGATATGAATGCAGTTCTTTGTAATAAAGGGACTGAGAACGACATTCTTGTACCATAAACTTCAGCCGTTTTCTTGTATCCGAATAGGCAGTCCGACAGCATGAACTTTCCTTAAGATACTCATAGCGTTCACGCTCAGTTTCCAGATGAATCTTCCGCAACAAGTTATTTATCAGGACTGAGCGGCGGAGATAGAGTTCAGGATCTTCAAGAAACTGAAGCTTCTGCAGAGACAGTTTCAAAATACAAGCCCGGTCTTCAGGTAATATCAGGTGCTGAGCAAAAAAAAAGTGGAAGTTTTTAAGGATAGGAGAAAATACAGTACATGTAGCACAGAATAGGCCTACCAGAGCTGTGCTGCAAAAACATAGTTGACCATTAGACGACACCAAAGAGATACAACAATGCTTAATGTTTTCTGCCATCTAGTAATACAATTTTTTGCAGCCCACACCTCTAACCCAGAGACAGAATCAAGCTGTAGTCTTAGTTGATGTTGAAGAACACCAAAATAATCTGAATCTATCATTATCCATTGTGAGAGTGTGCAATGTTTCTCCCCTCCTTTTTTGCTCCCAAATGCCTCTATGATCTGTTCTGTAATTAATTCCTGAAATTCAACACTCCAATTTGCTGTAGAAATTTACTGGCATGGATTGGCACCTATTTTTCCCTTTTTTAAAAAAAGGATTGTTATTTTAGAAAATATTATTGATTGGACACTGAAAGTATTTTATGGAGCTTTTGTGAAAGTTGGTAGGGGGATATAATTGCTTTCTGATGTTTTTTCTTATGTTATACTTTTTCATAATGTGGAAGAGATAGAAGATGTTGTCCCTACTTACTTAGCCTACTCCTAGCAGACTTATGACTTCTGACAACCAAGAATACAAAGCTTTTTCCATAAATTGAGCCAAAAGCCTCATCGGGGGGGGGGGGGATTACATAGCAGAAGGGATGCACTATGAAAAGAGAAGTCCTTGGATTTCCCAAAGCGGACATGGGTTGAGCTGGACATTGTGGAACAGGAGGCCTTGCAAGCTTCATTTACATAGGAGATCTTTATGGCCTTTTTTCCTCTTTCTTACTGAAGAGGAAAATGACTTTCGCCAGTCATTTGTTCTTCAAATATAAATCCAGTACAACTGGCATGTATACATGTAATTTATCTGTATTGCAATTAAGATAAAATTCTTGTTAAAATTATTGCTTTTAACAACTATCCATGCATCACAAGTTAGGGAAGGCACCTATATTAATTTCAGCTTTGTTTTATTAACAAAAACATACTCACTTTTGGAAAATACCCTGGGTAATCTTGATGTAAATCTTCTTCTTCTGCATATTTCCTCTTAAAGTAGGCTACTTTCGACGTTGTTAAGGTATTTGTCAATACTTGGCTTCAATATGCAAACAAGAAGGTTTTGTCATTATTTTAGCAGCCCAACAATTTTGTGACACTTTTACAATGACTTCTTTCAAATCACAAGCCATTGTATTTACATTTATTTGAATGTTAGAAGTGATTGGTTATAATATTGTGATTGTTTTAGATGCAAGCAACCAGAACTACTTGTGAATAGCCTCAGGCAGCAACTTTATTGTTTATATCTATATTACAAGAATCTGATCAGGCTGCTTGCCTTGTCACACTTATGCCATTTGAGACTGCACAACAATTTCAAACTATTCTCTCACTTGACCCCCTTCCTCCACCCTCCATAATATATACATAACAATAAGGTTAAGAAAGTTCATTAAAAGTTCATTAAAAAGGAAAGTATAGCATGGTGCTTAACTTTACATGTGGCCCCTAAGCAATCATATGTATTTTGTTGTCCTAAAAAAACGAAACCTAAGGCCAATTAAAGATAGACTATGCTAATAGACACAGATATAACAACAGATACTCCAGTGTTCTAGCAGTTGATGTATAAGAGAATAGATCTCTCCCTTTTTCTTGGTGAAGGCAGGAGTACAGTTTTCCAAGTGACTGTTGGTTCTTTATACAATCTCAGGGCAACAGGAGCTATAATTCACATGGTCTAAATCATTTATGAGCACTGCACCAAAACGACATGAGCCTCCCTCATACATCTGTATTTATACACTATCTGCTGAACAGCACTTTATGCACTGAGGAAATTCTAAAAGGTTCCTGCTTTTCATGGTATAAATTTGTTGATGAATGGGGGTGATGGATTCATGAGGTTGTTGTCCTTCATACTTATTTTCTACTTTTAACAAAGCCTAATAGTTCATAACCAGATTGATTTTACTATTGTTTAAAGTTTTCTAATACTTCAGCTTTAAGTCAGTTGTACTGTGCAATATGATCTTTGACAAAGATTGCAAACCATAAAATAATAAATCATAAATAGACACCATAATGACATTATGCACTTCATTATGTTGACATCATTTGTACAATGATTAATGTATATGGGGGTGAAATCTACTACTGCTTCCCCTAATTCTCCCTATGATGGCCCATTATTATTTATTATTATTTATTTATATATATATTTCATATACTTGCCTCTGTCAGCTTCATTTTCAACACTATTTTCCCCCATACGGATATATATTTTTGGAGTACTTTTTATACTCATCACAAGATGGCAGTGGTGCCACACTGAAAATCCAAGCAGTTCTCTCACATGTTCAGCTCAAACTGATCAACTAATAAAAATTGTGCATTCTGCTTTCTCTTTCTTCTACTTTTCCCCCAGTTTCAGTATACTTTCCTTCGCCATTGCTAAAGGCCTGAAACTTTCCAGAAAGCTCTGCAATCCTTTGGTGTACTTGTATATTTTTTTACCTTTTTTAATTTGACCAATTAATTTTTACAACATGAATAAGTGCAAGTTCTTCTGGGCCAAAAATGATTTCCCTTTATTACATGGTGTCACTTTCAGCTGCATTACAAAGACACCTGCAAAAAGAAGTTAATGTTTGGTTCTGAAATTATTGTAGCAGTGGATATTTTAAGCTTCGGTGTTTACCTGATGTTATAAACAGGTGACTTAAAGTAACAGCTTATCTATTAATCTTTTAAGGAATTTACTATATTGCAATCATTACTGAAAGTGTCCGAAATTGTCTGACGGTTGAATCATTGTAACTGGAATAATTGGAATAACCTTCAGACAACTTCAGACAACCTTCACACATCTCTGAGAACATATTGCAATAATGACTATCTTTTTTCCTTTTTCTATTTAATAATGATAAATATTAAAACCAGGAATAGAGACATTGAGAGAATCACCTCCATTATATTATTTGTTGTTTTTATTTGAATGTCTACATATAGAAACATTTTCAAAGTTTCTGGGCAGAAATTTCTATTCAGCTGAAAAAAATGTTCCAACTGCTTTTTGTAATCAGTTTCCAGTTTCCTTTATATGGCAACCAATTTAAAATTTTGCCTTTGGTTATCTGATAAAAAAAAGATATAAAAGAAGTTATAAACCAAAAGCAATGGTCAATTCCAAGCATTTCTTGCAAATGGAAAGGGAAAGATTGGAGCCAAAACTGAAACCGATGTCTAAGAAGCAGACATTATGGAATATACAATTACTATATATTCTTGGCAGCGTGAATTATTTACTTCATAAGCCAAGTAGAGGTTAAATCTCTTGGGTGTCCTTGCTATCTAATTTGTTGACAATGATCGATCTCTGTTACCCTTTACATTTGCAGTGTTCCACTGGGGAAAAGCAAGGATGAAATTTCTTCTTATTTCAATAGCCTGGCTGGCCAGATGAATAAATCATCAAGACAAAATCATTGTTTCTTCAGCAGGGAAAATGGGTTAATTGCTTCTGTATATACTGCTCAAAAAAATAAAGGGAACACAAACGTATAGGATCCTATACGTTTGTGTTCCTTTTATTTTTTTGAGCAGTATACATGAAACTGAGCGTTCACATGCTTGTACGTACATCTGACACACATGCACATCAATATAATTATCTTGATTTCTTAGATTGCCCCTGACTGGATGTCAGATGTAGAGATTTCTCATGTCCAGCACTTTCAATGTCGGCTGTGTAAATTGAAGATGGAATATACATCAGAGCTACCCACTGTTAATAGATGCTGGCCATGAAGCATAGCCTGCATTTTCAGAGCCATCAAAGGATCCTTTAAGATCCTTCTTTAGTTTGATTGGAGACCAGAGAACTTAATGCCAAGATCATAAACCTTGTCATTTATGTAATCACAGCAACACCACAGTGTTATGGTTCAGAATGCTGCTCACTGTTAAAGTGGAAGAAGAAAGTTCAACCCTTTTTCAGAGAACATGGATAAGTCTCATATACCTTCTTTGACACTTCAACACTCCCAGTCCCACTTGACTGTTCTTTTTTCGTTAAATATTTGTCAGCTGCAAAATGCTAGCTCCAGCCTCATCTTTTATTTCCAAGACTGCCTCTGGGTTCCACAGAGGCTTCACATGGAATTTTAAAAAATGAGTGGCTGCAGTCCAATGTTTCATTTGCAAATGTGCTCACCTGTCCCAAAAAAAGAAGATAAAGATAAACTAGGCTGGGAGACTAAACGTAATGACAGAGAATAATCTGTCACCTTTGTCTTCTAGAAAATGGAGGCTTCCACCCACTATGGTAAACATTTTGACAATAGGTAAGCCCATCCCCAATGCATCAACTTCTGAGAGCACAAAAGACATGCTACCCACATGCCAGACATGTCCATTTGGCCCCAAAGGATGGCCTATCACTGCCATGGGGCTCTGGAGAGCCAGAAAACAGCAGCAATATTGCAGGGAGTCCACAAATGGCTCTGGGGGGAAAAACCCCCACTTGAATCAGGAAGTTCCTGTTTATAACTTCCTTGCATGGTTGGCCTCTCTAGGCTGGTATTTCCTGCTTTGATTAACAGTAACTTTAAATTGGGGTGAAACTGAAGGAAAGGAAGGAAAATTCAATCCTGATCACTGCTGGAGACGCTATGGCAGGAAAATAGATTCAAGACCTAAAGAAAGAAAATAGCTGGCCTTTATATACCAAAGGTTGCTCTCATTATGAAAATAGCAGTCTTGGGGATGGGTGATTTATTTCTGGTTCATGACAGCTTCAGCTCAGATATAAATGAATTCAATCATGGCTTTGGCAAATATTAATTTAACAACTACATAACAATGTACTTTAATGGATGTTTCCTAAATGGTATACTATGCCTATAGGCATTTTCCTTACAGAAAAAAAATCACATTTTTGAACACGGTTCCCCCAAACAAACACTATGTTACCATTTTGCGCACATTCTGCATCCAAGAATTACACTGTAAAATCTGAAGAGTAATTGTATTCTAAGCTGCATATTAGCCCAGAATGTTTGAATCAGATCAGTGGATTTACAAAGGCCACAATTCTTCATGCATTTACTGGGATTAAATCTCGGTGACAAGTTGAAGATAAGGACAGATGTAAAACACAGATATAAACATCCCTTCAGAAAATTTAAGTGACATTCCCCTAATGTTTTTCTTCTCGTTAAAGAGATAAGTTTAAGTGTTCCTGTCAATTTAATTAAAGCAATATTAAATTAAAAAGCTAGCTTGTGCAGTACTTCTTGGTATTGGACTAAAAATCCAAGTTCAAGTCCATCCTCAACTATAGAAAGAGCTGGTCAATCTCCTTTAGCTCAACCTTATATGGAAGTTTATATTGAAATATGAAATATGTGATGTCACATATGTTCCTTAAACCAATATATGTTGGTGAACTTGGAAATATTTGAGCTCTTGAGCAGGCAGAATATATCTATAGGACATCTTGCAATTGCTTTAAAATGGTGTGCATCATTCCAGTTGCCTAATCTACAAAATGACTGCTGCTCCATTTAGATCAACATTATCCACAGAAGCTAGCAAAAACTTTCTAGGATTTTAGACAGGGATAGAGCTGTCAAGAATTTGCTCTGGGTCCTCCTGTCAATGAGCCTCAATGTCTCTCTATAACAGTCCCATTGCAATTGCTATTATAAAACTTCATATCATATCAGTTTTACTCATCTCTAGATTTGCCCATTTTTGTCTGTTTTAATCCAGCTTCCCAGAAGAATTATTTCATTTACTGTTTTTTTTAAAATCATTGTCACTAAAAAAGTAGATGCTGGTTTATAAGGGATTACCGTAAATGCCGGCGTACAAGGCGACCCGGCGTATAAGACGACCCCGTCTTTATAGCCGGGCCGCATTCCTAGAACGTCGTCTTATACGCTGGAAACTACCAGTATTTCCGGCGTATAAGACGACTCGGCGTATAAGACGACCCCCGTCTTTGGCGCCGATTTCAGCGCTCGCGGAAGTCGTCTTATACGCCGGCATTTACGGTACATATATTTTAATGAGGAATCCTATATGTTACTGTTGAACCACGAGAGCTATAGCATTCTGTCTCCTGTATAACAAGATGAGGATGTGCTGTGGATGATCAGAGCATCAAAGTGTGGAAGATTTAGTTGGCTATGTTGTGTCATTTCCAGCTGGAGATTTTCTGGAGAAGATGAACTATCTAGTGATATATAGATTTTCATTTCAATTTGGCAATTTTATGCAGATTTTTATGGAATAAAAAATTTTTCATATCATTTTATTTTTTCATATTTTTATTTCCTAACATTTATAAGAATCAGTGTCTTGTAGTAGTTCAGGTGCTGGACTAGAAATAGAGAGACTGAGGTGGTAGTCCTCCCTTGAGACAGAAACTAGCTGGCTGATTTTGGGCTAACACTCTCTCCTAGCCCTCATCTGGGAAGTTAAAATATACTTATCCACTAACTAAATAAATGTTAATAGCTCGGCACTTTGAAACCTCACCTGATGGAAAAAGCTCCCATCAATTTGTCCCAGTTCTTGCCAACCTAGCAGTTTGAAAGCATGCAAATGCAAGTAGATAAACAGGAACCACTTCAGTAAGAAAATAACAGGGACATGAAAGGAGCCCCCTTGGGCGGCCCTTGAGCAAAGGTGATGTCATCAGCTACTCCTTTCAATCCGAAAGCCCCTTGGTAGATGCTTCCAACACAAAAGTTAATAGTAGCAGTCTACTAACTGTACATCAGCATAGTCAGCATTATAAATGTATGATTATTATATGAGTCATTTAACATTATACATTTCCTAGCCTTTTTTCCTTGGTGTCTCTATAATCTGTATATCTACCACAAATGTATCCAACTTTCAGTAATGTAGCTTTTTTTTGTAGTTTTTCATTGGTTTAAACTATGCAAGAAAAACTGCTGGCCAGATTTCATACGTTGGTGGTATCTATGTTTCTGTACAGACTAAAAGGATTGAAATGCCATATTTTGCTCCCCAAAAATTCTGTGGTACCATTCCTTCTAGAATAACAAAGATTATGTAATTATGGGGAATGTTTTCAGCACTTCCTAGATGTCTCATAAGATTCATGAGTTGTACTGATTTGTCCCAAAACCACTGTAATATATACAGATGCAAAATTCTTCAAAATCATGAAGGATAATTTAGTGTATTATTGTCACATTGAAGTTCTGGGATATTATGAAGTCACCAGAGTGACTCATATGGAATTGTCTAACCTTCTTGATCCATGTGCTTAGATATTAGTCTTGAACTGTGATATGGCCCTAAAGCTGAGCAGCAAAAGACGGCTAGGATAGTGGGGTTGAGGCTGGATCTAATAAAGTAATGAGTTGGGTATTTTCACAATAGCAAAATAAACATTTGCAAGGAATGTTTAAATCTGGACCCTTACATTTAATAAAAAGATATACCTGCTGATATAATTGGCATCCTCTGTTCTATAGTTCTATGAGAATCGAGCAGGAAGCCAATAAAGTAGAGAGATTCTCTGGTTCTCTCTAAGCTTAGACTAAAAATTCAGTCCATAATCAATAGATTTAAAGGAACATGAAAGACATACTAGTTTTTTCTGAAGCACAAAGCTAGGAAGTCCTTTGGGTGTCTATGGTGGCACCACAGTTCAATGCAAACTAACCACAAGAGTTCTATGAAACTATCTTCCCTTATCTGATACTCTATATATATTTTAATCACAATTTACATCTTCTCTAGCTAGAAAGGTTAGTAATCAGAGATCAAAAAAATGCAATACAACACATCTGGAGAGACACTGGCTGGAGAAGGTTGCCATAAGGAGTAAAACATCTGATTGCTGATGCAGTATCTTGAGACTGAAGTTCCAGACTCCTTCAGAGACTTACAATGCCAGTGCTTTGTTGTTTCTCACTTTAATTAAACCCAAGCAATATGTTGTACCTTCTCGTGCCAAATCAATCCACAAAGTGACTTCTTGCTGTGCTTTCAGTGGTTCTGATGAGTTTCTGTCTTCGGAAAGGCTTAGCTAGCATCGCTTCCCACACAGTTCTGCTGAACAAACACCTGCGAAAATGAATCAAGAGAAGAGGAAGAGAGGAAAGAGAAGGAAGGAAGGAAGGAAAGTGAGAGAGAGGGGGGTATACAAGCACCCCAATGCAAACATTTTGGGGGGATGGGAAATATCCTGAAAGTATTTGCTATCCTAGACCTTGCTTACTGCTTATTTGCTTACTAGAAAATGAGAAAAGGTCATATCCAAGGTTACTGATGATACCTCCAAGAGAAAACAAATCATGTTGATCAGTGATAGATCAGTAAGCAAGGCAAAATTATAAATCAGATGTGCTTGACTGTAAATAGCAATTGTTGTTTTTTTTTAGTTTGCCAGGCCACTGATGACAACCAAAGACTCTAATTTTAAAAAAAAAGAAAAGAAATTATTGAATTGCAAGCTAAACCTTGTGGTTTATTTTTGGGTCAGTTCTGTTGACATATTTGAGATATGTTTGACCATTACAAGATAAATGATTCAGACAGACCCTCCAAAGTATATCTTGAGAGGCATGTTCCTGAACTGTCTAACTATAAGAGGGGAAGGCTACAGTATAGCTTAGTGTTTTTGCTTTGTGGGCAGGAAATCAGTGTTATATGTATTTAATTATATCAGTCTATTCTATTTAATTTCTGGAATAAAACAAACCACATGAAAATTCATTGTTGTGGGTACCCTCAAGAATAACGAAGTCAGATAAGTTGTTAAACTAGAACTATAACTTTATTAAACTATAAAAAAGGATTTTTTTGTCTCAGAAATGTTGTAGCTCTCTTCATAAGTTTCATGCAGCCCTTTGTCTTAGGACATCAACTAGACCAGTCTTTTATCCCAGTTACATCTTCATATACCAAGATAGGCCTTTCTGAGCTGGAAGCTATAAAATTCAAGGGCCGCCTATTCAGGCATCCAACACTTTTTTATTTTCTTTCTTGAAGGACCTATCACTTTAGGCTAATCTATTTTATTTTACCAATTTGTATACCATCCATTTCAAAATGGCTCTTGGAGTTTGTAGTTGAAATACATAAATGTTGAAAAATGAGCTTCATAAATCTCATAAGGACTCTAAAAAGCCTGGGTAAAATGTCAACTAGCAACCAGGTTGATGATAGTTTCAAGGACAATGCAATTCTCTTCCAAAAAGAAGACAAAATTTACTATTGATGTAAACAAATCCTATGCTTAAGACCAAGGACATAAGCTTATGCTTCTTTTATTCCACTGTTCTTATCATGTTTCCCTGTCTTATTTTTTTTTTTTGCCTCCAAAAGAGGTAGTAGGTCTTACTTTTGGGGGATGCCTTATTTTTTTCCAGACACCTGCTTTGCCTCATGATGGCGGCACTGACAGTCCTGTCAGCAGGAGCCTATGTGACTGCTGGCCCACTTCTATGGCTGCTCACGGTTGCTTGCAGCCAGAGGCTGCTTAGCCTGCTGCAGCATGCCACTGCCATAAGGTGAGGCAGGTAGGGGAGGGGGTGGAGTTGCCCCAAGCACCCATAAGTGCCCAAACATTTCTCGCCCAGAGGGAGACTGGAATCTTTGTCTGCTTGCAAATGGGGCAGTTGGAAACTGAGGCATTCACTCCATTTCCAACCACCCCATTTGCAAGCAGACGAAGCTTCCAGTCTCCATCATTTTTCCGTCTGGGCAAAAAGTTTTTGGGGCCTATGCCTTGGTTTACAAGCACCCCATTTGCAAGCAGATGAAGGTCCAGCTCCCTCTTGGTGAAAAGTGCATGGTGCATCCAGATCGCCTACCTTCCCCCCCCCCATCTTTGCCTCTGTGCTGTACTTACCTGCACTGCTCCAAGGGGCCAGTGGAGGTTAAGTTTTATTTTGGGGGTAGGGCTTATATTAGGCTCACCTGAAAAAATCAGGGTAGAGCTTATTTTTGGGGTGGATCTTATTTTCAGGGAAATATGGTATTCCACTAATTCTAACCAACTTATTGAAACATTTATTGCTCATCAAATGCTCAAATAACCTTTCCTTCAAATAAATTTAAGATGGATGGATGGATGGATGGATGGATGGATGGATGGATGGATGGATGGATGGGTGGGTGGGTGGATGGATGGCACCTCCAGCTGACTTAGTGCTCCATGGCACCAAAAATCACAATCGCCAATGCCGATTCTAAAATTTTTCCTAGGCAGGAGAGTCAATACAAATCTTAATTTCAGGCAGCTTGTGATAGCAAACTCCCCACCACTGCCATAGGCATATCATTCTGAGCAAGGTCATTCTTGGAGGAGAAGGAGGAAGTGGTGTGCAAAAATAAAAAAAGGCAGCTGCAACTATACAATTAATGAGTTCATGTTGACTTTTAAATACTCCATCACCCCAGCAGATGGCCCAGAGTCTGAAACTCTTGAAAACTAATACTGGTCAGCAAATAGTGCCTGTTTAGGTAGACCGATATCTCACAGGCATAAAATAGACACATAGATTTCTAACTTTTTTGATAACACAAGTACATTTTTGTGCATCTGAATTCTCCCAAGTTTCCATAGTCAGGGGTTCCTCCCTGCCTATTCTAGCAGTGATCCCCAATTTTTCTGGCACCTGGAATCAGTTTCATGGAAGACAATTTTTCCATGGATTGTGGAGGGGAAGAGGAGCACGCAACCTTGATTCCTCACACGAGCATTTTACAGTAGGGGGTCACACTCCTATGAGAATCTAATACCTGATTATCTGAGGTGGAGCTGAAACGATGGTGCTAGCACTGGGGAGAGGCTGCAAACACAGATGAAGCTTCACTTGCTCACCTTATCTCCAGCTGTACAGCCTGATTCCTAACAGGCCGTGGACAGGTACCGGTTTGTTGCCCAGGGGTTCGAGATCTTGTTCTTGTTTTGCAATAGATTGCTATGCACCATTTCTGGCATGTTTCTAAAACCATTCCTATTTCTATAGCCAGGGCTTTTTTTATCATAGAACGCTCAGAACGGAGTTCCGGCACCTTTTTGGGATGGAACCTTGTAGGGTAGGCAAGGCAGGTTGTATGACATGTGTGAGTTCCGGCACCTTTTTTTTTTTTTTTAGAAAAAAAAGCACTGTCTATAGCCATGGCTTTTGCAGTTCATTAGCAATACCTATTCTGCTCTCAGATTAAGCAAAAGGCTTTTGGAGTGGAAGTAACAGAAAGGGTTGTCAATCCAGGATTCATGATTCCAAGCTAGCAAACAGTCTCAGCCAGTGTGGAGCAGCTGCAGTTTCTCCCCCCCTCCCTCCTCCCCATTGCCTTCCTGTTCATAACACCCATCCTATTTACAATGCACCACATCTGATCAATGGCAGCTGGTTGGGAGAGTGGATTATAATCTAGGCAGAGAATGATCAGGAAGGGCAATTACTGATATCACAGTCTATTGTAAAGGACAATAAAAGATATAAGTATAGCCCAGCTCTGAAGGCAGAAAGCTCAGAGAGATCGGGAGGTTTGCTTGCTCAGGCAAGATTGGGAAATATGCAGCTTCTTCAGGTAGTGGAAATTTCAGCCATATGACTAAAGCTTGACAGCCTGGTTCTCACCTTTAAAAATCTAGCCTTTCCTGGGTAGCTTTGATGCTGTCCTGATTACAATCTTGGAACTCAAGTCAAGGCATGGATTGCAAGTTTATGCAAGAAAAGCTTCTTGACTTACAAATCATAAACTCATTAAAATTTAGCTTGCTCGAAAAATCCTAAAAATCCAGCAGTCACAGGTTTAAGTTTTGAATTTTTAAAAGGTAGTTTTAAACCTCTCCAGAAAAGGCAGTAAGGACTGAAAAAGAAGTTTGGTTTGCCAAACATAAAAACCAAACAGATAAGGACACGCACAAAAGTGAGACAGAATTAAATCAGTGTGATGAATGGGATATTTCTTAATGATGAATGGGATGTTTTGTGACATGTCTAGAGCCAAACAGGTGCTTCAAAAATCCAAAGAGCCAAGAGGATGGAAAATAGGGGTGTGGGGTGTTGATAAACTTCACTTATGATCGGTGGGTTTAATTTGGTACAAGCCATAATCTGGGCAGAAGTGATTACTCCCCCTCTTCCTTCTAGCTATTCTTTTTCAGGGCCAGTAATTTTGGCATAGGGTTTGGATTCAGTTCCTTGGCTTCAGCCACAAAATTACAACGGGTAGTTCATTCTCTTAAAGAACTTTGCAGGGAAACAAAGCCATGGCTGTGCTCGAGTCCTGAAGAGGACAGCTCTGAGAATGAATGAGGAAAGATTTGCCAAATCAATAGGCATATGAACTCTTCAACCTAAAACTATTGATTGAGAAGTAACTCTCATTGATTTTAATAGCACCACTTAAATGAGGTTAGGAGATCAGCAAGCAGGAAAGTGTTCCCTATACATAATTAATATAAATTGCAAAGAGCCTTGGATGTGACATCACAATCTATCATCTGGAGATTTGGAAAAGTCTATGAAACCCTTCCAGAGTGATTAACACATATTTAATACAGTGAAACCCTTATATTTTTAGAAGATGTTCTGATCTCCTCATTAACTCTCTCAGATATGGTATGGTCTAATGGCTCTTTGCCAGATGCATTAGACCAACATTTCTCCTAATCCACCTGCCCACCACCACTACATACAATAATGGTCTGCCACCTGTCTAAAGCAAATTGTCTTGTTATCGTCCCTGCATCTAATATTGGGAGGAGTCTTGCCTCCATAGGCAAGTTTACATTGTGCTACCCCATCCTAAAGTTGTTGAAGGAGCCCATTGAATGGCTTTATGCATCCATGCAGATGCCATGCAAAAAAAACAACAAACCAAATTCATAATTTATTTATTCTCAACATGCATTTTTACCTCCCAGCACAGTTTGATTATATTAAGTGCACAAACACAATACACAGCAAAGTTGCTTGTTCCTTATGGTTTGTAGTTAGCATGAATTTCCTTCCAAAATGCCTCCTAAGAAGGATCTTCAATAAACTTTGACAGGGCATGCTGGATAGTCTCCTACTATTTCTGAATGTGCTAACTGTTCAAAGGAAACTTAATTATTCCAGTCAGAACGTGGATGAAATGAGTATGTGGGCAGCACATTTTCACATTTTAAATTCTTCTATCAGTTGCTTCTTGGAAGGAAGAGGGTTGAATCCAGGTGTTATTTCCCTATCCTGGCTGTTGGAATATTATATACCAGCTTTAAAAAAATGCATTGAGCTGGCAAATCAGTTTAGAGAAAATCCATTCAACACCCTAATTTTGCATGCAGCTAGTCATTCATGCAGCTCTGTTCCTAGCTGGATCAAACCAAAATCTTCATTTGGAATACAGTATAATATTTTTAATTCACTGTTTGAATTTGAATAGTGGAGCCTGGTTGATATTATAGTCATCTAGATTAAACTATATCATTTGGTTGAATTTGATGGCTGGTTTGCAGTGGGAATTAGACTCCGATACTATCTGACACAAGACATGGAATCCTTCTCAGTTTTTGACAGCTTGTGAAAGTTCACATTTGATCCCTGCTAAAATTAAAAGAGTGAAGCACTCTCAGTTTGAATTTCAAGTACAGTAAACATTTAATAGAATGGTAGCATTCAGGATTTTGCAGGAATATTGTTACATGCTATACTCTGCAGTCTCAGGTATTAGTTCTTTAATTTTTATTTCACCCATATTAAAGCTTTAAACTGAATGCCTTGTATATAATATTTTATGTATGTATGTTTAGTTTATTGTTATGCTATTATTAGCCAGGAATTCTAGAACTTGGAACCCCAAGTCCTGCCTCAGGTTGGTTAAGGATATCATAATCTTTAAAACAACCCTTTGAAGCAGATTAAGATTGTTGCTTGTTGCAGTTGCTGCTTTGGGGTGGATGGCTTGCGTGCCAGGTTCAATGCCAAGAAAGCCTACCTAGTTCAGATTTCCCCAATGAAGTATTGGAATTGCAACATCCAAAATCCCCAACCAGCACCATGGCAGCTGGGAAATCTGGGAATTGTAGACTTGACACTGTGGACCAGGGTGTCCCTTCTGGTTCTATCTCCTGAAAGATTGTGGCATAATTTCCTTCTATTTTATTGGGAAACAATTTGAAAAGTATAATATAAGCCCTAGATGCAGTTCAAAAAAAGAGATTGCCAAATTCCACCCCAACAGAGCCAAGACTCATCCCTGTATGTAATGTAGGTTCCTACTGTGACACTCAACTTTCCCCCAAACGGTAGGTGTGGAATTTAGCCATAAAAAGGATATTCCACTAAGACATGCAAATTAATTTCTCTTGTCTAGGTAGAAAGATGAAAGATAGAATTATCTGGATATAGATGTATGATTTCAACAAACTGACACGGAAGAAGCATAGTGGCCCGAATGGAACCTATAAAAAGGCAATTAAAAATATTCTGTTAACATGCTTCTTGAGAGCTAAATTTAAAGCATTATGTCACTGTAATTAATTTATTGGCATTGACCGTGAAAATAACCGTGTGGCAAAGTTATAAAAACTTACAGCATTTCATATATAGCTAAGTCCTAAGGCATCATCTTTAAACAATGTCAGGGAAATCAGCCCTGACATTGAGAGAATATATGTGCCAATAAGATGTTCCATGTTGGGCATGTTATGTTCCATATGAAAGAGGTTTGATCTTACAGGCAGGCTATTTCTCATACATACCAAAACCTTGTATTGGTTATTTTTCAGAAAGTCCAATCCTAGAATTAAATATTTCCCCAACGTGGTGCCCTCCAGACATACTGGATCACATTCCCCATCATAGCCCAGGGATTATGAGCGAAGGTGTCTGACACATCTGGAGGTTGCTAGTTTGAGGAAGAACATGACTTGATACTCCACCACCACCACACACACACACACACAAAGTCAGTGTGAAATAAATCTTGAAACCATTTTTTTTTTCCTCTTCCTGTATGGCTGCATCTCCCTTAAGGGCAGGAGAGAGTATTTCCTGCAAGCCATCAAATGAACAGTTGACAGTAACAAGCTGAATGAAAAGACCAGCAACGTCCAGAACTTCTCCGAAGGATGCTAAACATCATGCAAGAAAAGGGGACAGGAGGGAGAGAAGCCATTCTATCTGAGAGCCTTCCTGTAAAGAGACTGGGGGTCCTGGGAGCTTAGGTGTCAATTGGATAAATAAAATACCTTTTACAGGGAAAAGGAAACGTGGCTGGGGCGTAACAAGGGCGCCTTCTGTAAGCAAAATGTCCCAGCAGATAACAACCCTTATCGCTTTAGGAATAGAGCAACCCCCTCCCTTCCCCAACACGCGCGCACACCGAGGGAGATCTCCGCTGCCCACCCCCACCCCCCCGCACAAAAAAGAAACAGCCCTGAAATGTTGAAGGGCTTATCATCGGAGTAGCTTCATTTCTGCTGCTGTGTCTTCTCACAGGTGATTTATTGGGGGGGGGTCACCTTTCTCGTGCCTCTCTCTTTGTACCCACGGAGCCTTCGTCGCAAAACTATTCGGCGAAGGCTGAACGGGTAACTTGGTGTATGCTCAGAAACCCTTGCAGCGGATCAGAAGGGCATTGCGCGGGGCTTAGCCTCCCCGCCTCTCAACCCTCTGCTGCTCGAAGCATCTCGAAACGCGGAAGACGAAGCGGGCTGAGGGGGGATGCGGTGCCCTGCCCTGCCCTGCCTTGCTCAGTTCTGCTTACCTTCCCAACGGTGCACCTGCCTCAGGGGAAGGCTGATGCGAGGACTCGGCTGGTCTCTTCCCGCTCCCGTCGGTCAGCTTTCTGCGGGTCCCTGCGGTCACTGGCGAGCTCATCGCCTCCTCTCTTCAGCAAGCAGAGAGGCGGGCGCCCAGATGTTCCCTTCCTTCCCGGATTGGTCCAGAGGGAAAAGATGTTAGCTTGTTGCTAGGCGCGTTGCTAAGAGCCAGTGACGCTCTTTTTCAGCATCTCCAGAGCGGCTCCAGAGGCCGCTCGGCATGTCCTGAGGAAAAGGGGAAGTGGACAGAGGTGAGGGCTTTGGGGAGCAGGAAAGAGCAGGGAGCCAGGCGAGGAGGTGGATGGGTAACAGGGCAGGCAAGGGGAGAGGAGTTAGGACAAACGGTGGCCCAGCAAATCAATAGGGCTGTGTGCCGTATTTATTTTTGAGATTCCCTGGACTGAAGCATACAGTAGATAAATCTACCTGAAGAATTGCTCAGGGAACAGCTGATGAAACTGCCTGCAGAAAGACGCAGATCATGCCCTCCCAGGGAAGCTTGACTGACCGAGTAATTATCGATTATACAACCACATCTCAAAGGGGAAGCAATTTCTGAGTAAGGTGCATAGTGTAGTCCAAATCAGGATGTCCTTCATGGAAGGACATGCATGCAGAGGCCAGCTCCAAGACTATAGAAGCTGCAAATATATATGGCCATATATAAATCATGTAAGTTTAAGAAGCTGTTATAGCTATTATAGTAGAAAATCACATTTCTCCTACAGAATGCTTCTCAGCTAAACCAGTATGTAATTGGTTCAGTATATGGTTCAATACTAGGCTAGATACTTCCAATACAAGATTAGCAAGACTTATCAAGGACATTTCCTTGTTTGAGGTGAAGCAGGCAATGGGTTCCCCCAAGCTGGCAAGTCAAGTTTCAAAACTGGTCTATTCTATTCTAGCTCTTGCTATTTAAGGATTAAATTAAAGGGGCTCCCCCTTCCCTGAAATTTCCTGGACTCTTTCTTCAAGAGAGAAGGAACAATTCCTTATTAAACAGGAGGGACATGCAGCCTGAATATAGAAGAGCACTGGATGCTGAATGGCTCCTCAGCTCCACTGGCCTCTGCTATTCATGTCATTTGTCTCCAAATGATCCAGGAACTGAATGATGGAATGGCAAAAATATGAACAGATTTTCTATGATGGGTACATATGACATGGACAGTTGCCTCTCAGAATAATGACTGGAGTCCCAAACGGGTGGCTAACAGCACCAGTGAGATTGTAAACACTTCATTGGGCACCCATCTGGATCCCTGACCCATCTGAATTTTTCAGTTAAAAAGAAAAAAGTTAAAAAGTGCAAGTTGGTTTACGGCAAATCAAAGGGCATCATTTTTATTTCCAAGATCACCTCTGACTCCAACTGGATCTCTCCCTGGCTTAATAATCTGCATGTACAGATAACTCTCAGGTATGTTTACTGAAATACATTCTTTGTGATGCTGCCTTTATCACTAATGCATAAATGTCAGTTCAAACAGAATTCAGCAACCAGGCTGGTCTTTAGAGAAACTCAGCTTCCACATTATACTTAAGCCAGAAGCACTCACAAGCATTTTTTTTTCCAGCTGAAATATAGAAGGCTGGTAATTACGTTTAAAGCTTACAGTTAGAACCGAGTTTATGATAGAAAAGTTCCCGTTATCTATAATTCCTCTCCTGCCCCCACCTCCACTCCAGGTCATCAAAAAAAGTTGATGATCCAACTTTTGCAGGCTTATATCATAGTGACTGGAGGGTCAAGACTTCTCTTAAACACCTCCCTTTTTGGGGGGGGGACAAGTATTCTCAGCTAAGTTGAAGCTTTTAACAAGGTCCTAAAGCATAAGCAGATTTTTAATTGCTGGTTGAAATTGTCTTAAATATTTCAAAATTTAATTTTGCCTTTGCCAAATAGTAGCAGTAGTGTTACTTATTTCTAATATAATAAGGCAAACAAAATCAGCCACATGAGCTTTCTTTGAAACATTGGCTGATGGCAAAATTTAGCTTTGCTTGGAAGTGTTTCTACCTGCTCCCTTAGGGGATGAAAGAAGGCTGGTGCAATATGTCCTAGGGGAAAGCGAGCAGGGTAACAAGTAACATTCAGATAAACCAATGTTTTGAAACTGGCTATGCCCCCATGGAAGCCATTTTGTGAATAAGCAAGCCACCCTTAGCAAACAATGGTGGGAATCCTGGTGTAAAGAAATCTCTGTATTCATTTAGGCCAGGATGGGCAACTTTTGTCTATTCAGATTTGCAGTTCCTCAGAGGAAATCTTTTCAGGTCACATAATGATCAAGACTAAAGAAAGCAGTAAGGGATACATTTCAAGTACATCTTGAAATACATCTAAGTACAATACTGGGTGAGATAATCAACCAGTTTAGAATTTGGTATCAGTGCTGATGATACCCAGTTATATCAACCCCCAGCTAGCTAAGTGAGGCTTCCAAGGTTCTGTCCCAATTCCCGGAGGCTGTGCAGGTTTGGATAGGAGGGACCACCTCCGACTCAATCCTACCAAGACAGAATGCCTGTGGGTGTTGGGCTGCCTGGATCGGGTGATATTTCTTCTCTGATCTTGGTTGAGTTGACACTTTCCCCTTTGAAGGTGATGTCATGTTGAGGCTCTTCCTGGACTCACAGCTCCTGCTCAAGAAGCAGGTGGTAACTATAATCAGGAAAGCTTTATCTGGTTCACCATGGAGCTGTCCTTGAAGACTATCTAAAAGCTTCAGCTGATCCAGAAAACAGCAGGGTGACAATAATGAACACACCTCAGTGTGCCCCACCTTGAGTTACTTATAAAATAGTAAAGGTGAGATAAAAATCTAATAAATAAAATACCTCTACTTTGAAAATGTATTGGTTGTCAGTTTGTTTGTAGATGTGATTCAAGTTGCTCAATACCATCTATAAACCATAGGATTTGGCCACTTGAGGTCTGTCTCCCAAAATATTTGTGTGGCCAGGGCTATTTTTGTCATAGAACACCCAGAACGGAGTTCCAGCACCTTTTTTGGATGGAACCTTGTAGGGTAGGCAAGGCAGGTTGTATGACATGTGTGAGTTCCGGCATCTTTTTTTTTTTTTTTTTACAAAAAAAGCACGATGTGTAGCCAATTCAATATGACAGAGATGGCACACCCCAAGTTCCTTCAATTAAACAGTGCCATCTATCCAGGCCAGGATAGATGGCAGAATTCTGGGAGTTGAAGTCCACAAGTCATAAAAGGGCCAGGTTTGAAGACCCCTGATCCAGGCCCTGGAAATGCAGCTTCTCTGTCTCAGTCCCTGCCTTCTGGAATGAGGTTCCCTCCAAGATCCAAATGTCTCCTAACCAGCTGGTGTTTCAAAAGGCCCTAAAGACCTGGTTCTTCACCCAGACCTTCGGTGAAAGTTAGTGAAGTCTCCTTTGGACCCAAAAGTTTTCCACGTGATTTGTCACCCTGCCATCTTTATTCTTATTATTGTTTCTTGTTCCTTATGTCTTGCTTTTCATGTTTTAAATAATTAAATAATTAAATAAACCACTAACCACTGGGCAATACTGATCAATACTAGGAACAACATACTCCAGAAATTATGTGGAAGTAAATGGGGAGCTTCAGCTGCCACCCTCAGATTATCAGCACTAGGGCTGGTGTACTTTGCAGCTGAATATATATACCGTGCCCCTGTGCCCTACTAGTAAGTTAGACACCAGACTCAATGACACCATGAGGATTATAAGCAGATGTATTAATACCACTCCAACTTGCTGGCTTCCTATTTTGAGCCACAAAGCACCGCCAGCTTTACAAAGGCAAGATGCACTAGTGAGAGAACACAGAAAAGTTATGAACAACTCACTCCTACCAGTGCAGGCCAACTTTGCTCATTTTTCAGCAGGAACACTGAAATCCAGGAAGCCCCCACTGGCACTTGCACAACATCTGCCCAACAGCTATAACATCAGTTCTCAATGGAAAGCCAAATGGGTCGCTGAATGCCCAGTTATAAGAAGATATATAAATGACCCGCTCCCCCCCAAAAAACAGGTGCCAGGCTTTGAACTACTATGTCAGCAATGGACAATGCTGAATAAGATTGACACCTCATATGGCATCTGCTGGGACTCTATATAAATGGGGCATAGAGTCCTCTCCTCAGTGTGACTGTGGGGTCCCACACCAAACTGTAGATCACATTTTGAGTGTCTATAAGCTCAGGGCATTTACCAGTCCAGTATCTGATTTTTTAAATAAAAACAATGCTGCGTATCAATGGCCTAGATGGCCTAGACATTAATATGATAGATCTTTTTGACATTTATATTTTATTGGGTTCTACTAATCTAGTTGAAATGTTAATGTATATTGCTAGTCCCTGTATAAATATATAAATAAATAAATAACTCCCTGGGCATTAGGGAGCATATACATATAATAAATAGTAATAATACCAATTATCACTGACCCTCTTTGTCCCAAACACCAGACTGCAGAAAAAAAACCAGTGAGCTCTTTCCAGACATCTCTATTGAACTCTTGCATAGATTTGAAACTCGGCTAGTTGTTCTTCTTGCCTCACCTCTAGGTCTTGCCAGCTTACTCAGTCATTACATGGTGACTATAATTGTTCTCATGCTGCCATGCAAAAAGCATCATCCTGATCCCATTCTCTCTCCCCACCTCCCTACCCTGTAAAGTCATTGTTATCTGCTACAATGGTAAAATGCATGTTGTGCAGGTAAAAAATCTCTGATTCAGTCTCCAGCATTTCCAAATAATGGTAAGAAAGATCAATCAGAAATCATGAAAAGCCATTATTAGTACAGTATACTTAAAGAATAATGCTCTCAAATGAGCCACATTCAAACAAGCTTCTTATATTCCCACTGAGAATGATTGCAACTCAGTGGTGAAACAAATACTTTTGTTAGGAAAGATCTCCATGTTCAATCCTTGGTATTTTCAAGGTCCCTTCCAACTCTGTTATTTTGTTAAAGGTCACCTTGGAATTCTTGGAGCAGCTCCTTTAACTGTGCAATCAAAAATGCACAATCAACCACTTCTCCAGGGGCCATCCAAAAGTTATCACCTACTTAAATAGGGCGAGATAGGC